TTGCAGGGATCGGGTATCCTGGAATGAGAAACTTTCACTAAAGAGTTTTTAGCGGATAAAAAGGAAGAGACAAGCGCTTGGAACATTGGAAATGCCTTCAAAACACTGGGTGATTTCCGTAGCAACTTCCATTTTTAAGCACATTTTGTCCAAACAGATTTTGACTTTTTCTCGCGAAGCAATCGAACTCAAGCAATCTTTATGCAAGATGCATGATTTCGAGAAGATCTGCATGTATCATTGTAGTGAATCAATGTCGCAAAGAATATACAAAACTTAGTGGAGCAACTACTGACATGCATAAGAGAATCTGAATGAGTTTTGGATGGACTAATATAGAAAGGCAGTTTAGAAAACTATTTTGACAAAGGGTTACAAAAGTGCTGATGAAAAACTCAAAACTTTCTATTCAGTGAACAGGCAAAGTCAAGAAAAGTTGAACGAAAAGCTTGAAGGAAAAATAGAAACAAAAAAAAATTAGAGACCAAACCTATTCTGATAGCGCAGATCATAGAATTCTTGTGGGAAGTACTCGGCGAAGTGCTGTCGGTCAAAGTGCTCTACTGGAGGAGCCTTAGCCCATTTGTCTTCTACCTGCATGACTATGCTCTCATCGGTTTCATGCGAGATGGAAAAAAAAGGTCAGACCTTCTTAGCCTGCTCCAAACCATCAGCGACCTTCATCTCATGAAGTTTTACTCGTTCGTTATTGTACTCAGTCCAGTGGTCAATCTCCTAAACAGTAAGTTATTCACAGTAATCAGATAGATAGCTTTACGGTATCTTGGAAAACCGACATACCTGAAGGTAAGCTTTAGGAATCTCTCCATATGGAATCTTAATAGCCTCTAGCTGTTTCTGCAGCGAATCCAAAATTGCTGCATGAGCTGGGAGTTGCTTCTTTAAAGCAGCGAAGTCAACCTGAAAATCAGGCTAGGACTTCCACAACTGATGCAGCATTTCTGAGCAGTTTCACAAACATCACGAATCACAACAATGATATCACATTTGCACAACGGAACATAACCTATATCTTTTGTTGAGTAACTAACCTTGATCTGTAAAAATCACTACAATATGAAAAAGCATAGATTCGATTCAATCTTCTCTATAGAGAATCAGTTTATAAGATAGAATGCAAACCTTCGGAATATCAGATGGAAGTTGGTCTACAGCTGCTGAGAATGTGTGACTTGTTCCTTTCAAATGCGACAGTTCAGAGGCATGTTTAGGAATGAGCTTCTGCTCTGAAAAATACAGGATGTACAAATTAAAATCATCTTTAAAAGCCAAACCTATGAATTCATCAATATGTATTCTAGTGGCTTATAAAGTTGATTTCTGGTCATGTGATTATCCTTAGATTCAATGGAATAGGCGACTGGAAGGGCGACCGCTCGCA